ATACTAAGCTAATGGAATGATAGCCAGTTTACCTTGCTCCTGATACTCTATAATGCTTAAAACATGAGCCGATTGCAGAGTAAGCAGTGCTACTCCAGGCCTCTCATTAGCAGCCATTGTTATGTGACACACCTATTTCCGCTTCAAATAAATCGCTTCCGGTTACTCACGTCTGCGACTGGGCTGATACTGTACTGCTGCAATCAATGATTGATATGAATTGTGGGTGGGGCTAGATCACGTGGTTTCAGTATACTTCCGGATACTTTACTAGTTTACTTTACTAAAGTTTACTTTAGATTTTTAATTTTAACAACATAAACAATATATTTATATCTAAGTGATTGGGTAATAAAGCACTCATCTATTAATTATAATATAATAATAATAATAATAATAATAATAATAATAAAGTTCAAGATCTATTAACGAGGGAGGTAGGTTGTAGATCAAACCATGACGTCCATCCTTTGGTTAAGTCTCTGTATTTCTCCTTAAACTCTATCAGTACACAGCCAATGCACTCCTTACTCAATAAACTGCTGGCGTCCCACACCGTCAGCTGGAGGCACCTGGACCTCAAATCAGTTTGAGAGAGACTGTACTGAAACTAAAGAACCACTGGACTGTATTGTTAAGATACATTAACACTTACTGTCTCATTATAAGTTGGGTTGAGTGTCTTCCTAGCTATTTTAGTTTTTAGTTTTGTGGCTTTAGTTGGGTCAGGTAACAGGTAGAGCTTTACGTAAGGATCAATTGACTCCGCCCCCTCCCTGGGGACCAGTTCCCTTGCATGTTGGACCATTATTGACAGCCTTTGCTGGTCCTCGCGATAATGAAGGTCCAACTTAACCTTACCACTCACAGTATCAGCAGCTGTTTGCTCCTCTGGAAGAAATGAACACTTTTAATGTAAGTATATGTACATGTACAATAAAAATGGAGAGTTCTCTCCTTTTCATTTTTGGCAAAATTGTGGAGCAACTTTAAAAATTCATAAAAAAATCCAAACTTGATCGGAATCAGCTCAAACTTTCTACACAACATAAGTACATGTATATGTATCAGATAAAGTTATAAAATGGAGAATTCTCTCCTTTTCATTTTTGGCAAAATTTGGCCCGAGACCATGTACTACAGTACAGGGACTTTGGCCCGTTTTTGGAGCAACTTTAAAAATTTGTAAAAAATCCAAACTTGATCGGAATCAGCTCAAACTTTCTACACAACATAAGTACATGTATATGTATCAGATAAAGTTATAAAATGGAGAATTCTCTCCTTTTCATTTTTGGCAAAATTTGGCCCGAGACCATGTACTACAGTACAGGGACTTTGGCCCGTTTTTGGAGCAACTTTAAAAATTTGTAAAAAATCCAAACTTGATCGGAATCAGCTCAAACTTTCTACACAACATAAGTACATGTATATGTATCAGAAAGTGTTGGATGATGTCATTACCTTCTTTCATTGTCCTCAGGTCTTGCTCATCCCTCATCAAGCAGTGAAGGAAGGTATAGACTATATCTGACTCAGACACAATTGGACTCATTGTCAGTAGAGACTGGAGGTACACATTGAGAGCATCACGACGCTTCTCTGACGTCTAAACAACAACAAATTTATCATTATTATTATTGTTATTATTATTATTATTATTATTATTATTATTATTATTATTATTATTATTATTATTATTGTTATTATTATTATTATTATTATTATTATTATTATTTGGAGTGTTTACTTCTCTGGTATAGGAGGTCCCAGGTAGGTAGGTCTTCTTTGGCAGGTGTGGTAGCTTTGTTTCATTCGGAAAACACTCGACTAGTTTTGTCTGAAGCTCATGAAACTCACTGTATCTTCTGAAGATTATGTCAACTTGTTTAGCAGAATCACGTCTTGTGACCTGGATCTGATAAGACTAGAGATACACAATAATAGTACATTATTATCATTATTATTATTATTATTATTATTATTATTATTATTATTATTATTATTATTATTATTATTATTATTATTATTATTATTATTATTATGATTTACAATATATCTTTCTGGATAGAATTTCTTATAATAAGCAACTACAACTGCCATCTGTATCTTTCCATCAGTGACCATTCTAACAATGACAACAATATCATGTACCGATACAATGTACCGAAATACAAATACATGTATGAATATGTATGTACATGTACGTGTACTTACGAATATGATGAAGGACAGAATGAGAGTAAGCTATGACTAGGAGCTGGAGTGGAGAATTTAAATTGAGCTAAATTATGAATGAAGAAATTAATCTGAGTAGCAATAGTTCCCAAACTAGCTTCTATATTCCTAATAAGGAAGTTAATAACTATTAATAACTACTAATAACTACCAATAACCATTAATAACTATTAATAATTATACTTTGTAAATTGATAAGTAGCTTCCTCATCAGTTACATTAGGAAGGAGAGCATCTCTCACATAC